TTATTTTCTTTATCTTTCATTGTTATCCAAAAAAACGGAGATTAAATTTTTTTAAAATTATGCATATGAAAATTGAATGAAAAAATATTATATATATGTAACATCCCCATTTAATGGTGATAAGATACACAATAGCATAACATTAATACGTACATTACATTCCAAATACAAATGGAGCAAGCAGTCCAAGAGGGTTAAAGTTTACATGCTTTCAAGTCACTTCAATACACACATGGTTCAACAAGATTCTTACAAACGCAAACAACCAACAAGATTACACTAGTTCAAACTTGCTGTGCAAACATAAAAACATGAGAAAAGAAGAGTTGCATCATCCTCAAAAGAAAATAAACTTAATCATGTGCTAGTATGTCCATTGTCCTTCATTTTTGTAGATACAATGTATGTTTTGATGATTACAAAGTGACGACAATAAAAACAGAAGAGTATTAATCAAGAGCAAAAAACATCAACCATATGTGGATATTAAAGATGTATGATGTAGCCACAAAAGAAGAGTAATGACATATCAAAGTAACAAAATCATTGGATCAAGAGCAATAAGGAATAATTAGAAGAGCAACACCAAGATCAAATCCAACAAACCATAGACAACATCTAAAAGAAGCTCAATATCATAATCATGGTGAAAAATGATCAAAACCAAAAAAATGTCATGCATTGTCATCCAATAAGTCAAAGCATCAAGCTCAAGTAAAGATCCAAGACACAAGACATGAAGCTAAGTCTAAAATCATATTTATAATATATCTTTAGGACTTAGAATATATGTGAGGGTATATGATAGATTGCATTGCATGAGCTCAAAATTTTTCTCAAAGTAAACATGTTTTTCGAATTGCATAATCATAACTTTTATATACTTGAAAAAAAATTGAAAAACTCATGAAAAAGATCCTTGACATATTTTATAACTTCAAAACATATTTATCAAGTCAAGATCTTTCACAAAAAGTGGTTGGAAGCAAGCTAGAACACATTTGAACTTAAAATTTGTTGCATAATTTCGTTTCTGCCTTCCATACAATTTTTCATATCCAAGATGATGGATTTGCATCTTGGGTTCTTCATTGAAGTTGTAGATATTTCTTTTATCTTTTCAACAAGACCAAGATCACATAAATCAGACAAAAATAGCTCAAGTTATGCCCAAAATACGAAATAATGTTATTGTTGTCAAATTTCCATCCTTCCAATAGGTTGGGAATCGATTTCCATAGGGAATCGATTCCCCAACCAAGAAATCGATTAGCACCATGTGGGAATCGATTTCCTCTTCCTTGAAAGGTTGGGAATAGATTCCCTAAATAAAGGAATCGATTCCCACTACAACAGAAAATCTATAACGGCTATAAACAGCTAGTTTTGCTGAAAACCACTATAAATACATTCCTTATGACCCTAAAACGTTAAAATCACTATTCCTACACATCTTAAGGATGATTTGAGAACTTCTACACTATCATTTGCATATTCTTTCAAATCTTTCAAAGATCAAATATATTTGAGCTCATATCTTGAAAATCCATATACTCATAGTGCTTCAAGTTGTATATACACACTTTGAGAGTGTATATTCATTTCCAAATATTTCCCTTTATATTCTTGAATTGAAAGGGTTGTGAGACCCATTGTTTGAGAGGTAGCCAAATACCTAAGTAAATTTGGAGTGAATTGTAAGGTTGCCAAGTACTCGTAAACTTGGAGATTGTATGGTTACCAAGAACCCGAAGTCTTGGAAGATTGTAAAGGTTTGTCAAGCACCCGTGAAGCTCGACCATTCTTGAAAGAGTTGATCGAGCAGCTTCAGTCTGGACGTAGGTCACAAGTGGTGGTGACCGAACCAGGATATATTATGTTTGCAATTCTCTAAACTCTTTATTTCTAGCATTTTAATTTCTTCTTTGATATCTTGTATGTACTAGAATAAGTTCTATAATTGTGATATATTATATATTATGGATTGTTTGAATGTATTGAATAGCTTTCCACATATCAAAGTTTACTTGAAATGATTATTTAGAAACTAGAAGGGGGCTTTTGCGAAAATCTTGTAATACTTAACTCACCCCCTTTTTGAGTATAGAAGCCACATTCCTAACAATTTTACCTTAAATAAACCCCACAAAATGGGTGAGATATGAATCTTAATAAGCACATAAGGAGCAACTCCCTATTCTAGACCTAGCAAACCCGACGACTTGACTGGGGGTGTCGATCAAAATAGTTTATGACACGCGGGTCGAACCGCGACATGACACGAAAATTCGTGTTCGGGTTGACCCACATCAAAATTCATGTTGTGTCGAGTGTCATGTTGCGTCAACACAAATTCCACCCATATTTTTTAATTATTTTTTTTAATTTTGATCCATTTTTCTTTATTTTTTAGTCAATTACCGTTTTAACCCATAGTTTGCGTGTCAACCCAAAATAATGTTGTGTTCGTGTTGAAGATTCTGAAACGAATAAAAATTTGTGTCGTGTTCATGTTGCACGTATTCGGGTCATGTCGTGTCGACTCGTTTTGACACCCCTAGACTTAACATACACATGCAAAATCAGCTCTCACGTCTCTCTCTCTCTCTTTATATATATATATATATATATATATATATATATATATATATATATATCAATTAATTCAACAACATATAGTCTATCGTCAACTAATAATGTAGGAACTCAATGTGAACAACATGCAACTGTATGGCCTTCCGCCTCAAGAAGTAAGCTACTGTATATGTATTATGTGCACTAGTTGAACAATATGTAAATTGAGCTCAAGATTCGGTGAGGCGTCCCTTACAGTTGTCAACTAAACTGTTACTATAACATAAGATACATCAACCACAATTAAGTTAAATGTATTAACCATTCTTCTCAAAAGCATGTATACATTTATTCTATAGCAACATGTAAGCTAATAACTCATATGCAACCATAGCATTTCATGACATTCAATATTATATGTTATAAATAAAATAAAATCCTATTACAATTCACATGCATCGTTACTGTTCACATATCGGGATATCATATCAAGATATCACATGTCAGATATCATATCTGAATATCATATGTCGGGGTATCATATCTGAATATCACATATCGGGTTATCTCTCGACAAATATCTATAGGAAAAATGTTTATCCTTTTAAATGATACGACTTATATCCTTTCACTCTCACAAAGAGGTGGGACCCACACCTTTTTTTGTCAAATCTCTCTCCTCCTTTATCTATCTCTTCCTCTCTCTTAAAATGACACAACTTTGAATCCTTTAAAATGACACATTTTTCCCAATATCTATATAGTTGGTCGCAAATAACCAAATATCCATCCAGAACTTCATTTTACCCAAAATTATCATCTTTCTGGCTTAATAATGGTTCTAATCTATCTTTGCATGTCCCTATTGTACCCGAAAAATGATTTTCCAGTAAATAAAAAGGGATTTTTATCAAATTGATTTTCTAACCCAAATACCCACATGCATGAAGGGAGGAGTTCTGAAATTGTCATTACAATCTATTTAACAAAATAAACCATCGTTTTAAACAATTCCTACACAACTCATGTCATCCACAACCAAGTTTGCAAGGAAGAAGAAGGAACGTCTCCATCAAGGTACTTACCCATTGGAGTTTCATGTTTGCTCTGTGCAAAACGTCTCTCCCTCTATCTTAGTAGAATTTCCAGCAACTGCACATATGGGTGCAGAAATGAAACGGTGTGTTCTATCCTACTCCAAAGGAATGCAAGAGCTGGACTCAAATGAGGATTATGTGGCTATTTGGCGGTCAGGGAAGAAGTTGCTATGTGGGGAACCAGACACCAAGAGTAAGGTCGTTTGCTTGACAATTAAGAAAAGAGAGAAAGAGGGTTCTCTGAATGACGGGATGGGATGATCAGAGGCAGAAGATGATGGTGTGATGGGGTCTACAAAGAGAAACATGGGTGCGGGGTTATTTATTATTATTATTGTTTTTTATTTGGGTGTTACGACATAAGGGTAGGATCTTCGTATAAGAATATTAAATTTTACACTCAATCTTAATTACATCATACAAAAATATTAAATTTTACACTCAATCTTAATCATTAATTTATGTTTATCAAACTCCTGTAATTTATTGAACCTTTAAAAACATATTTAAGCCTGCCAAGTTTGTGTTCGGACCAGCTTGGAACAGCTTCAAGGAAACTTTGTGAAAGGTTAATAGGGTATTCTGTAAATATTATGATACGGACGACACAGTCATAGAAGATTTTAGGAACCATAATAAATGTCTCCTTTCTCTACTCAATAGAAACCATCACCTGCATTTTACATTTTCTACCTTTCTCTACCCAAAAATTTGAAGTACGGAACAAGACAGAATGGTGGTAGATTTTGAAATTTTATTCCCAGGTGGATGTTGAAATTAATTCTTAAGAACACAACAAATTTGAGTTGAGCAAAACCAATGGATAAAGAATGGTCGGGCCTCCCGCGCATCACCTGCAACTTTTTTGTTTTGCCACAAGATTTGTATAGTCGAAAGTGGAGGATTATCTAACCAGTAGAGATACCTTGGTGCATTCGATTTTCATTTTAATTATTTTTGCAAATTCAAACTATATTAGGATTTTCTGTCACAGCTGAACTAAATTCAAATTATACATGAAGACGCGGCAATCAAACTCTCCAAGAAAATAATTGTTTAGCAGAAACATTAAAATGGAGACTACAAATCAGATGCAACATACAATTCTATAAACTTGTCCGCTGGAAGTAAAGTCTTAAATTAATGCTCAGAATCAAATGGACTTGTAACATTAATATTAAGCATAAGGAATTGCACTCTATGAAAAACCATAGATCCAGGCCTTAAGTAATTTATGATTCTGTGATCAAAAGATCCAAAAAAATAACATGGTGCATTTAAACTCCAATATAATGATTTTTTAATTAATTTTTTGAAACCTATAATCACCAATTTATTAGTAGATGATGCGAGTAGCGGACATACCAGAGACCAAATAGCCATTGGATCAAAACTTAAATACTTTAAAATGAACACTTTAAAATCAACATCCCGGGCAAAGATTTTCCTCAAACAAGAAACAAGGTTGGAAACAAAATTAGAGTCTAGCATGACAGAAATCTAAAAAGTCTACCCCCAACATTAATAAAATCTCGCGCAAGATATCAGCACTAGCAAAAGACATATACTCATAATTTAATCTTCATCCTCCTCATCTCCATCTCCACCAGCAGCTTTCTTAGCAGCTGCTTTCTGGTTCTTTCTCTTCACCCTTCCAGGACGACCACCACCAAGTGGACTTGTGAGTGAAAAGTCAATGTGCTTCTGTGAATCAACCCTCACCATGAATGATGCGATGTTCACCACCTGCCTTCCAACCCTGTCAAGCCCAAAATGACATTAAAATCTATTTCCCAAACAATGTCATTAAAAATAAATAAATTGACAGCAACATGTTAAAGCATCTTCAGAAATTCAAGAAAACAACAAACGGAAAATACAAAAGGGAACAGGGCTTCATCTTGAACAACAAAGAATTTATTTGGTGAAAATTAATGCTTGTTTTAATAGCTGTTACTCCGAAAGCGGCACCAACAGATCATGTTGCACAATTCCATAATCCAAAATTGGAGAATGACCAAAGTTCAACAAAAGCTACTACCCTGAGAAATCTGAGTTGCAAGCAAGTGTCAAGCAGTGGCCACACAAGATACATACAAAGGCCATCGTATAATTATTGAGTTGAAAAAAACATAAACTTTGCAGACTCTGACTGTCATTAGATACAAAATAAAAGACCATTTGACATCGTACTAGATAGAAAAATCACAAACAATCATTAAGCGCAGGAAGAACACAATCACCTAAGTCTCGTGCAAATATCACACAACATAGAAAAGATTGGAAACAAGATTTGTTATTTTATCTCATTAAGGTTGAAAATCAACAAATAACAAAGCCACTACTGGCATGTAAACAACGAGAGATAAATAAAAGAGAGGAGAGAGAGAGAGAGAACCTGATGTGCCTCTGCCTGATGAGGACTCTAGCATGGTGAATAGACTTAGCCATGCCGGATTTGAAGACAAGGGTTTGAAGGCGACGCTCGAGAAAATTCTCAACGGTGAGAGCCAACACATAATCGAGCTTGTTCTGTGTTTCATCGAGGAGCCCGTAACGGAACATCCTACGGAGAAGGGCTTCACCCTCGAAGATCCGACGGGGGTTCTTCTCATCTAGGGTTAGGAGATTCCTCGCATTGTTACGGATGCGGCTGAGAGCGTACTGAACCCTCCACAGTTCCCTCTTGCACCGAAGACCGTACTCTCCGACAAGCTTCAACTCAGCATCCAAACGTTCCTTCTCGTACGGACGACGAGGTTTCTTGAAGGTTTTCCCATCTATTCAAACAATAATAAACAATGCGATATAGAAATGAATTTTTGGTTGTAATATAAAATCGTTCAGTGTCTCAGATCAGAATCAGATTAAATTAAAATTCAATTAAACAGATACATAGATCGATCAAAATCAACAAGTTAGAGACTCACAGTTCCTGTAGAAGTTAACGTGCACCATGGTTCTTCACTGTCTCCTTCTCCTCTCTTCTCTTCTCTTCTCCGCTCTGGTAATCTAGGCTTTTACACTACGTTTCTCATTTTATGGCGACCTCAAAACCCTAATTCAAGTAGGGCCGGACTTTTCGCTTTAAGGTCCACTCATCTGCCAGCCATAATAATCCAAACACAAAAGTGAACCCAATTGAGCAAAGCAGCCCAAATATGGAGGCCCATATTACTCACATTTCTTTATTCTTTAAATATTTTTTAACTTTTAATTTAAATATTAATTTATATCTTTTATATTTTACTTTAATTAGTTATTAATGTCCTTTTGTAATTTAAAATAATTTTTTAAATGTGTATTTTAAAAAATTTACCTAAAAATAAAAATGTTTTTATAATGTTGATGTACTTAATAGCTATAATTATAAAAGGGCTTCTTCCTGTGTTTGGTAACACTGATTAGGCTGAGAGAAAACACTTGCTCTGGTTTAAAATTTATCCAATCCGAGATATTCCCTTTATGAGGGCCGGTTATTTGTTTTTTTACTTTTTAGCATCTACGGCAGAAGTAATCCATGAGATTCCACCTCCACCTACTCAACCTCTTTTAGCTAAAAATTAAATAAATTATACGATGAAAGTAGAAACTTTAGAATGTAATCCTTTTCCACTTGGCATCTAATATTAGCATGATGGTAGCTCACTAGCTTAGCGTTAGAACTGGGTGTGTGAGGTGAGACCTACGATGCACCAACATTGATACGAGATACGAGAGACATGTTAATTCTAAAAAATAGCATGTAGTGAAGCGTTACGCGTTATGTAGTGAAGATTGAAGAGTGAAGAGTGAATGACTACAAATTCCTAATCCCACAATGCCATACTCACAGATTCCATTTCTCCTTCTCTCTCAAAACCAATCCAATCCGTAACCCCCCAATTCCCTTCCTTCGGTTTCCGATTTCCCGAAATAAAAATCGAAACTTTGTTCAGACCCACTTAAGATTTCGCTCTAACGTCTTCAAAACACCCAAGTTTCCTTCTTATTCTACTCAATTCAGTCCCATTCCCCCCCCCCCCCCCCCCCCCCCCCTCTTTCTGGGTCTCTCTAAGGTTGTTGTCGGAAATGACGTCGAGTATAGGCATGATGGATAGTGCTTACTTTGTCGGCAGGAATGAGATTTTGACTTGGATCAACAACCGGCTCCAGCTCAATCTCTCGCGCATTGAGGGGGTAACTAACTATGTGGACCCCTTTTGCATGTTTTGCTAAACTCAGAGTTTACAATGTACTTGTATACACTGTTGCTATGTGTTTCAAAAGAATTTGGACAAGTAGAACTTCCAAGGATGTTGGTAATTACATTGGCTGTTGATATAACTTACAGAACACTGTTCAAGTGTGAATGTGAACATCCATGCTATTATGATCTAAATTCTATGTTTTGCATGGGTTATTATTATTTTATTATTTTCTAAAGAATAATTTTGGGGCAAGGATTATGTTCCATCATTAAAAGAAGGCTACACTATTAACAGGAAAGCTGAACAGTTAATGCTAAAGTAACTCTAGGCATGTTATCTATGATTGAGATCTACTTTTTGGTTCTGATTCTGGTTATTCTCTTGGCTAGGCAGCATCTGGTGCTGTACAATGCCAGATCATGGATATGACTTATCCAGGGGTTGTTCCAATGCACAAGGTGGCAACATTACTTTGCTTTTAACTTTCTTTGGACTCTTTTGATATTTTAATTTGATGAAGGTTAATTTTTGCAATGCGGGTTTTATTCTAGGTGAACTTTGATGCAAAGACGGAGTATGATATGATCCAGAATTACAAAATTCTGCAGGATGTGTTCAACAAGCTGAAAATTGACAAGGTATCTGTTTCTTCCCATGATTATGTTAAGTGGAATACTTGGAATTATACAGAGCTTTGCTTTAGTAAATAAGAAAGAAAGAAATAATGCTAGGATGGCTTATTATAACTTTCAAGTGCTCAGACTAGCAGTAATCAAATTTCTTTGTTTGGGGATTCAATGGAATGATTTACCACTATTAAACTTTTAGTATATGGGAAAATAATGTGTTTATCAAGGCCTAGAAATGCTATTGATGTATAAATTTAATGAGTGGAATTTCATTCCAACTCCAGATCACCTATTCTTTATTAATGCTTCCTTCTCCCTTTCGCTTAGCCCCCAATTTGTATCCTCAAGCTTGCATCACTTGCAGACTGCAATTTCAGGGAATTATCTCTTTAGGCAGGTTGGCAAAAGCAACATTAGAAATTTGGTTAAGGAAAATTTGGTGTGCAATCTCGTTTTTATGCTCAATCCCAGTTTGATTGGTTGGATAAGTTTTATGCCCGAGTGTGAATCTTCCCTCTTGATTTAATGGTAAATGTACTTTAGATAATAGCTTCACGTGAGATTGAAAACTAGTAGAAGAAAGTACTTTGGTGCAATCAAATGTTACTGTTTAAAATACAAATATAATAAAATAAAAATGTTACTGTTTATATTTAATGGAGGCTTAACATGACTACCCTATGGCAGCATATTGAAGTTAGCAGGCTTGTTAAAGGCCGACCTTTGGACAACTTGGAGTTCCTACAATGGCTGAAACGTTACTGTGATTCTGTGAATGGTGGCATTATGAATGAGTATGCTACTTGCTTTGAGTATCTTTGCCATCATTTAAAGAGCTCCGAATACCAATGTGTGTATATTACTTGTAGGAATCCGTAATTGTAATATTACTTGTGTGATGCACGTCATTTCAAATTCAATAATTAGAAATTCTTTCTTAGGCCAGGCATTCATATTTCTCATATTGTACTATATATGTTGTCAAATAATTTATTATTTTTAATTTTATTTCCAGGAACTATAATCCAGTGGAGCGAAGGGTCAAGGTTGGAAAGGACCGCAATCTTAAGTGTTCTACGAAGAGCTCAAAGTCACTGCAAACAAATAGTATGAATAATTCTGGTTCAGGCGACAAACTCGGTCCTAATATAACCTCTGGTTAGCTTCTTGGTGTCTTTGATTCAAAGTTGTTCAGCATTTTGCCTGATGCTTTTACCATGTTAATCTTTTCCTTTTCTCGTGCTTTTCTTTGTTTTGCTTTTTGGTTGATATATGTTGAGTGTAGTGGCCAAGCCATTCAGGTCAATTGAAGCAGAAGTTGGGGCTAATTCTTCAGTAGAGATCCAGGCTTTGTCCAAAGAGGTATGAACATTAGATTCTCTGCCTGTAACAGTTATAGCAATGGGGCAACAAATGATTCTTCTTCGTGCATTTGGAGATGGATATATAACTATAAAAAACCATTTCAACCCAAAAGCTTAAGCTGTTGGGTGAGGTTACATCAATAGTTTTATGTTTCTACAACACGCCCCCCTCACACGAAAACCCATTGGACTTGAAGGGTGGATGATGTATCAAGTCTAGCTTATCTGTGCTAACAAACTCCACAATATTTAATTATTTTTTATTAATAGAATGAGGGGCGGTGATGATGTAACTCATGACCACTAAGTCATGTCGGCTCTGATTCCATGTAAAGAACCATTTCAACCAAAAAGTTTAAGCTGTTGACTGAGGCTACATTAATGGTTTTATATTTCTCTAACAATAACCAAAAAAGTCCTTGGAGTTACTGAATGACGCAAATTCTGTTTCCATTTATTTGTATAAAATTCTACACCAAAGCATTTGCTTCATGGATGTAAACATTGTTGATTTTCCTGATGCTCCCCTGCTGGTTTTGCCTGTGCTCTTACATGGTATTGCAATTGAAAGTTTGTCACTTGACTTGATTATTTTAATGAAAAAGTGTTTACCGTATCGTTTGTTAGTTGTCCACTTGTTTATTCTTCTTTTTCTTGTTTCACAGATTACTGATCTCAAATTTGCAGTGGATCACCTGGAAAAAGAAAGAGACTTTTACTTTGCAAAACTACGAGATATAGAAATTCTTTGTCAGATTCCAGAAGTGGAGAATGACTATGTAAGAATTCTAATAAAGGCTTATTTTTATTCACAAATGAATATCGGTCTTTCTCTTTTTCATTATGCTTGTCATCATGTCTAATTCGTGTCTACTGCAACATGTATATCATCTTCTATTCTTTTGATTAAGCTAATAAGTTTTCTTTTATCTGAATTTCCTATTACCTTTATGATTGACTGGTAATGGGGCAATAAACATAACAGAAGTTCTTGCTAAGAAAATTTATGGTTTTGGCATCGACATGTATACTTTCGGGAGTTGTTTATATAGTTGATGAGTCTGGTTAAGTGGATGGGATGGGGTATGGTCATCTTTGAGCTTGAGTTCTGAATTCTATTTTTTTGCTAGTGATGACACAGAAATGACCTTCTGTTAGGGTGTGTAGCTGTGTAGTAATTAGTTAGAGGATAGCCCAATAATTAGAGGTAGAACTAGACTAAGAAAAACTGAGTGAAAAAACACTAAAATGATTTAGATCTAAATGGCCTCTCTGAAGAATTGGATTTTTACATTAAGTAATGACTTCCTTTGATTCATTTAGCCAATCCCAACTAGAGCGGAAAAGGCTATGGTGGTGGTTGTTATCTTTGCCAACTTTGTTTTTTCTGCCTCTTTTTAAGCATCAGAACCCTTGCTTCCTTTCTCAAGCTGTGTGTTTGCTCTGGTATTATATAAAGCTGGACGATGGTGTTATGCATTAGTGATTAGTGTTTGAAACTGCTTACCGTTATATTTGCAAATAATCCATTCCTTAACCTGGGTTAGCAACCCAATCACCTCCAGATCATGGTCAATAATTAAGCGTTTGTACATCAGTGTTTGTTAAACAATAAACTTCAACGATAAAAAAAAAAAAAAAATGAATTAAATAAATGTAAGCAATTGTTGCATGTTCTCTTTGCAGATGTCTGTAGCAATTAAGACGATTTTATATGCTGATGATGCAAACGAATCAGCATTAGATGAAGCTCAAGATTACCTTAATCAAACTATGAACGGTGTCGGAGCTGAAGCAGAAATTGAAGCCTGATTACTCACAAAACTAGTTCCTTGCTTGTTTGCGTAAGATATTTGGCAAACTCTTTTTTAAACAAACTCAGTGCTGAGGCCGTAAAGTGCCATATAATGAATGTTGTTTGTCTGGTGCGTTTATTTCCTTGTAAGCCTGGATGGATAATCAGATGACATAATGACTTGTCTTGCCAATTAATAGAGTTAAACTATATAAAGAACTTCTAGTGGTTATAGCCAAAGTATTTTCACTGTTTTGTTTGTCCACTGTATGAAATTAACTGCCAAGCTCTCTGAATGTGTAATGTCAAAAAAACTTTCACTCAAAATGACTCGGGTGCTCTTTTTTTCTTTTTCTTTTTTAAAAAAGGATGTTTTTTAAATTTAAATATCTTGATATATGGTTTAGTGTTTCTTTTGTCACAACCCTGATATCATTTTGGGATTTGAAAAAATAAAAATTAAAGGGTTTTGTGGGAGGATTCAAGTTGTAAGAAAGAAATGAAATTTTCAATTCTAAAATATATCATTTTGGGATTGTAGGAGATGATTTTTAGGAACATGATTTCATTATATGTAATATCTATAAAGTACTTTTAAAAAATATATATATTTGAACATTAAAATAAAACACTTTTATTTTTACTCAAAAATTTGTGAATTTTACTTAATGAGTATAGCTTAGTTGGCAACATAGGCTGAGTAGGTGGATAGAACTTGGATTCGATTCTTATCAAATATGTCTTTAATTTAGGTATACCAAAAAAAGAGAGTGAATTTTTAGTTGTATTTTTTACTTTTTTTTAATTATTATTCTTTTTTTATTTTTCATGCGCATTTTAAGTACAAAAGCATTGAGATCATTGGATCGACTCGGGAACCGATAAACTGGTTTGGGTGAAGTAGCAAATTCGCCAAGCATTGGAATCGGTGTGAACCGGTGCAACCCGACTGATTTTGGTGAAAACCGGTGATCCAGTCGGTTCATCCAATATCCGACCTGATTTATAAAAAAAAATTATTTCCAAAAAGAAAATTCATAAAGAATATCATTTTTTAAAATTTACAAATGGTTTATTTTCTTTTAAAATATTTGAATGATTTGTTATCTATTGACTTACATAAATTACGTACCTATAAGGCTACAACACTAATATTATCAAGCATGGCCTATTGGTATGTTGGTTTGATTCTTTGTTCGATAATAATGTGTGATTTACTATTTTTCATATTTAAATATTTAAAATTGATATTATTTTTTACATATATTTCAGTATGTTTACAATTTTTTTAAGGGTTTGCTTTTTTACTGTCAATGTAGATATTAAATAACTTATCTACATTGAGCTCAAAACGACATTATTTTGAGACGAAAATCAAGATAACTTTGTAATTACAATTTATTTTAAGGTTATAATAGTAATTTTCATTATAATTTTTTAATTTTTCAACTCAAAAAAACATCATTTTGAGAGCGAAGGTAAATAACTTACCTACATTCATTGTAGAAACATTAAAGTCTTTTTTTAATATAAATTATAAATGTACATATATTTACCGTGTCATACGATTAAACCAATAACCTATTGACTCAGTACCTCGATCAGACTAATAACCGGATCGGTTTAATAACATTGATTGAGATTAGGAACTGAAAAAGGAGAATTTACCGAGGTAGGAGGCACAAGAACTCAAGTTGGAAGCACAGGAGACGACGGAGGGATCCATACTCCCCTTGCTGAACACAAGACACACTTACGTGACAGAAAATATATAATAATAAAAAATTATTATATTCTTGGAGAGGAAAATTAAACGACTCGAGAAACAACAACGTGCTTCATCTTTATCTGCCAATGATGATAACGAAAGAGATCAAGACTGATAAAAAGGAAATATGGTGTCTCCGTACAGAGGAAGTGGGAAAAAATTGAGGGTAAAATTGGATTTAAAGCTTCTAGCTCCTGCCACTTTAGAAGTGAAGAATTTTAGCTTTAAAAAATAAAACATATTTAATTGAATTTTCTTGACTTCTGTTTTTTGAAAATTTGACTTCCAACTGCAGACATAAATTGAGAGAGAGAAAAAAATTAGAAAAAAAAAACATCCAAACGTGCTAATCGAGTTTATTGTTAGGGGTATAACAAAGAAAAAGACCAGTTTCAGTTATATATATACCATCCGTGTGTCATGGCCGTTATGGATAACATAGATGACTAATCGTAAGATAGTTACACGATAATACAAAGACGAAAAAACAAAACATCAGTAACAAGCAAACATGTACATGCAACCCCTTATCCCGAATATGGCTGAAGCTACAGGATTTGCATTTAATAGGTCTCATCATACATAGTATAATGACCACCACCCATTCTTGATTTATCAGCCTGCAAAGTGATGGCACCATTATTACTAACAGGTCAGTCAAAAAAAAAAAGCGTAATTCCACAATAACCAAGTTTTACAGATGCAAATACCCTATTGATCAGATTCTCAAATGCTTCTGTTCCGTTCTCTTGAATGTACTTCTCTGCAGCAGTAAGAATGTCATCTGGCTTACCTAAGGTATCCTTTTTCCTTGGAACATACCAAATGTTAATGGTCTGAGGATTGATAAAGAAAGGTCTCACATAATGCTCATAAACGTACGCAGCACCACTAAAGTAAGGAAGGACCAACCAGCAGGTTACAATCAGCTTTACATATGGCCATAGAGGAATCCTGACATATATATTGCAGAAATTCAACCAAAAGTTTAATACTTTCTCATGCCCTTCTAAATATAATACAACAAAAATCCTACAAAGAATGATATGATGCAGAAAATGCACTGCAGAAAATCAACTTTAGCCTCTAATTACATACTAAACTATACTTGCATTGAAGCCCTTTTGTAATGCCATCTATGATAAACATAAAAAAAATTTACTCGAAATGTCTATAAGATTGTACATGAATGACTACTGTGTTTTGTAAAATTATCAATCTCAATGGAAACAATAAGGCATTAAATCTGCAGCTCAAATAGTCAGAAAACCTTAAAAAACTTGCAGTCAGGTTCATTAGTGTCTTTATACATAACCATATAGCAAATCAAAGGGGCCAACATGAATATACAAAGTGCTGCTTGTAAAAAATGACTCCGTAAGACAGAACAGTAATTGATGAAGCATCAGACATGATTGGAAACCAAAACCGGAAGTATAGCTGGCCAAGCTTGGCTACAATGGCACTTGACAATTAAAAAACTGCTTTTTCTTTGATTGCTCTTACCATAAATTACCCTTAAATCAATCATCAAAAGCTACTAAGATTTCATGGATAACCCCCGGGTGGCCAAAGTCAACTTGAGCTTGAAATACCCTTTTAAAAAAAAAAAACCAATTTTAGAACTAGTTTTATATTGTAGATAAACAGAACTTTTGTTTTCTCTGTATTTTTTTGTTAATTCCATGAAGATTGTTACAAATTTAAGGGTGTTAGCCACACACAAATTCGCCCAATCAAATCTCATAGTTTCCAGAAATAAAACTGGAATCATGGACCAGGGGAGGTCAGACATATCCAGACAGGAGCAAGAGTTGTCTATAACACAACAGCAGCAGGAATAGTAAACAAAATCATACAGAAATAAAAAGGGGTACGAGATAATGATAGTGGATGCATAACATGGACTTAAAGAGATTGATATTATAACACCGGGACCAAAACGTTTTGTATCAGAGGGAAAATCTATTGAACTTGATCAACCGTTAACAAGTAATCCAAATGTGGGTAGGTTGGACATTGAAATAGTACTTCAAGATCCATTTCAGGATCATAATGGTGACTTGGGTCTAGGATCAAGTCCAGAATCAAGACTCATGGTGACTCAGTTCGAGGATCATGACTGAAACAAATAGTTTAAGGTTGCAGACTTATGGGCCTAATCAACCTAAACTAGGAAACAAATAACAGAAATAAATGCAGAATTATCATATGGAGAATCACACATGACTGACACCTATATTAATATATAGGTACTTAACCACATTTTCTTAAGACAACGCAATAAACTACATCCACAACAAGTTGCAAACAACAAAGACTAAAATCTCAGCTCTCAAGTTTATAGTCACATTTACTGAGTGCTGATTTAGTCTTCCAAAAATATTAAGGTAAACGAGAAAAATCATAAAATAAAGAGAGAAAGAGAGAGAGCAAAAATGTATACCATTCAAGAAGTCTGGCAAAAGTAAGTTCAAAGAGGGTGATCAAGGAATATAGAACCCAGTAAGTTAGCCACTGCTGATCATCAATAGGAGACTTGCTCTCAATTGCCCTAACCGAAGCATATCTGCGGCAAAGTATGAAAACCGACACAAACCATGAATCAAAGGCCTATTCTCAGACAATTGCTTCACCTATCACAGGACAATGAAATAAACGCAAACGGAATAGTGTTACTTACAGAGGATAAACAAGACTAATAACAGGCCTGCAAGAGAAAGAACATAGGTATCAGTGTCTAAAAACAACATTGAATAAATAGGGTTTATTTTAGCTATTTCGGTACGATGTGAAGCGTGTAGCCTATTTTAATGGCTTTTGCACCAATGGTTTAGTTATCTCCAATCTCTTTTTAGCCAGAGATTCAAACACACTAGTGTGTTTGGGTTTGGGTGGCTGTGCGGCCAATGCGATACTAGAGTAGGATGAGGAAAAACATACCCAGCAAGGACATCGAAATTTTGGAGAAGCACCTTGAGGAAGTTCCAGGCCCCAGATCCCATCTCTGATCTCTCTCAAGCGAGTGTTTCTGTTCTGTCTGTGCCTTTTGAAAACACACTACTCTCACAACACAAAGGGGAAAAAGAGTGTGTGTGTGTGTGAGAGAGAGAGTTTAGATTGGCACCGACTTGCTTGTCTCTGTGTGTGTGTGTGAGAGAGAGAGAGAGAGAACGAATGGAGATAGGTGTGGCGAAAAGCAGGAGTGACAACGAGAAAAGAGAGGATTCTAAAACAGTGTGACCTTGTAAGGAGGTGTTTTTGTGTGCCCCCGACACTAGTGAAGCTTTGTACGGATTAGGGATTAGTGGGTTCGGTCACCAAATAAAGCTTTGTACGTAAACACAATTACAAGGTTAAGGATCAAAGAACCAACATAATTACGAAATTACTACTTCCGACATTATCTTACGCTGTTTTACAAACTTATTTAACGGAATGAAACATCTGTTATAACTTACATTTATTTTTTGTTTTATTCTATGTTCTGTTCCTTTTCCGTATGTTTTTCTTTTTCTTTTTAATTTCTACCAAGTTGTTACAATTTTATTTTATTTTTTGGAATTGCTAGATTGTTATTTTCTGTCGAATGACGAGTAAGAGGATTATTTAAAAATTATGAAATGATATAAAATTTATTTGTGGGAGTGTAAATTCGGTGTCTGGGCATGACGCATGCTGTATACGAGTCAACGTAGTTGAAGTTTGGTCGAGCCAAGTATATTTTTTTATGTTTGCTGTTATTTACTATGCCTGCAAGTTTTATTTATCTATTTATATAATTATAAATTTTAAAATAAATTTTATATAGTTTCCTAGAATAATTTAATATATTAAAATTTTAAATATAATTATTACTAGAATATTTGATTTAAAATAGTATTTAAGTAAACCTTACATTTTAATAATTAATTTTGATATTTTTTAAATTTAAAGACTAGCTTGTATTAAGTCGGTCAAATCAACTCGAGACATGTCACTGCAAAATATTTTTTAGTTTCAATTATATTAATCTATCCTACATGTCAAATTTTTCAACTCAATTTATTTTCAAATTATTCAAGTCGATTCATGAAATTCAATTCATTTTGATATCGTTAAAATTGAGGACTGGAAGAAAAATTACATATGCTAACAGCTATAAAAAGTTACAATTAGTAAACTTTTATAAATTTAAAAAAAAAAATCAGATATTCCTATTTTATTAAAAATATAAACCCTTTTCTTTATTAACAATTAAGAAACAATAGAGAATATGTATATTAGTTCGGCTAATAAAATCACTTACAGGTAAATACACGAATCTAAAATCAAATCACACCTAAACTCACAATGAGTCCTCCCCCCTATTCAACCATAATTTGACCCTATCCCACCAAAGTAGAAATAAAGAGAGACGAAGTAGTGGCTAATTTATTCTTCCTTTATATTGAAAGCGAAAAACGATATTAAGAGCAATTCTTTTCCCATATTCAAGTCCCCAAAACTCTCGTCAAAAAGAAGTGCCGAGAAAAGATTTCATCCTGGAATAGACGAATCCATTCATTTCTAGTGCTTAATCATTAGCCATGGTCCCAAGGAAAAGAACCACAAAAATCATATCTACAAGTAACTAGAAGCTTTAAGCCCCTAAAAAACAAAGGAAAAGAAAATGAACTAACTCGAGTCAAAAGTAATGCCTAGAGAAAAGTTATTAGGAGAAAAACAACTGAGTAAAATTCTCTTATATAATTGAATATATAATACAGGAAAGATCCAGAGAGGCATTGCTATTAGGAAAGCTAGTTGGCAGGTTATCCCAATACTAGAATTAGAACTAAAACTCTACAAATTAACATGCTTAACTTGAAGTTGGTTGATCTCCAAGCAGCTTTGATGGCCATGAATCTGCTGGTGTGGGATACCTGGGATGTGGTTTACTGACAACAGGTGTAGGTTTAGGCGTGAGCTCAGCAACATTAGGAGCTGGAAAAGCAGCTTGGAGATCAGGATGAAAGGGGACAACCAAAACCGTAGGTCCCTGCTGCAAGGTAGGTTCTATGGTGGGCAACTGGAGACTATGTCCTGGAAAATTTGTCTGCTCTGGTGGCTCAAGCTCCAATTGAGGAGGTGCATTCAGGTCAGGTTTAGACTGAACCACTCTTGCCTGTATCTCATCTTGAAGTTTCTCAATTTGAGATTCTAGGCTACAATTCTCCTCCTTCAGCTCATTTTTCTCCATGGTCACCTGCCCAATGAAGGCAATCATATGAAATACAGTCAGATACAAGATTACTTAAACAGAAAGGATTTCAAGTCACCTAGCAAATGTTAAATCTCATCCCAATTCATATGAAAATTCAATATGCAGTACTCTCAACAGGGTAGAATGAAGGGAAAGGAGAAAAAAGAGTGTCAATCTTACATAACGAGATTCAGACAACAGAGACACGTTTTCCTTCTTGAGGGACTCAATCCGACAGAGCAAGTCCTTTAGCAGCCTAGAAGCTTCACACAATGTAGAAGCCTTTCCATTGTTCTGCTCATTTAGATCTATCCCCACGCCACCACCAAAAAACCCCAAGAAAGGAAGAAAAATAGCACTTAAAATCATATCTGGCAATATGACGAATGTGGCATAATATACAAAGGGAAACGCAAACATAATTGTAATGTTGAATGGAGTAAACAAGGGCCACAGAAAAGTTTGAACATATTCAAGATACTCGATAGTGGGAGAAGAGGTTACCAAGTACATTGGCAAGATCAAGAAAGAGTTCATTCAAATGTTCACGCTTCATTTTCTCCCTTTCAGCCTTGTGAACTCTCTTAGGAACTTTCCCTTGCTTCATTTTACCAGGAGAAGACCTGAAGCAAATCAAGTTTACAGAAACAGAATTCAGATAATGAACTCATTGTTTCAAATAAACTACCCGTGCAAGAGACATCTAGCATGGAGTTGTTTCAAATAAACTACCCGTGCAAGAGACATCTAGCATGTAGTGCTATTAGTATTACGACTATTATTGCTGCCATCACCAACACCACCACTACTACTATATTTTATCAGTAATTCTGGCTAAATTTAAATTTGTAGCAACAACAAGTACAGCCAGATGAAGTGACTAATAACTTTGAAGTTTAACACACAGAACAATGGATATTTATATTTGCATCAGTTCAATACATCAAATGTTTTAAACCATTTCAGAAAGTTTTATCCCAAAGAAAATAATGGAAGAAAGCCAAATTTATCTTGTGTAACAACAAAAACGATTTAAGAACAAAGGATCCGATGGTGGTATATTAATATTAACTAATAAAAATCCAGTGAAGAAGGTTTTCATTTGCCTTGCACCAGCTATAAGAACAATGAAGCCATTTGTCACTGAAATTCAAGAACCCCCCCAAAAAACATTTGAATCTAAGAATCACAAAAGGAATTGCATAATTAAGAAACTGCCAGCGCCCATCAAATTCATTAGAAAAAAGAAGCAGCAAGAGCAGCTGGTATTTCTTATTTCTGTGGTGAAACTACATATTAGATTACCATTGCGTGTGTATGTGTGTATGAAAACATTAGATATTCTGACCTGTTTTTTGATGTCTCAACCATCGGAGCCAGACTCTCTGATCCCATATTAACAACAGCAGCTATGCCTGTATACAATTCTTCCAGCAATAAAATTTCCTAAAGTAGAAAAACAAACTATTTCAATTTTGTACCCTTAGAAAAAGAAAGAGAAAAAAAGCCAAGGACAAGTACATGGAAAATCTGAATACTTTCTATTATTTTGAAACTGTTAATGGCAAAGTAAAACTACTGTTTCCAGAAGCAATCAATTTCCTTCCCTTCTAATTCCAAATAAAAAGCCAAGTTCCCAACTTTAATTTCCACAATTCATAGACTCCAAACAGAGCATCAAGAAATTCCACGGATCAAACGGAAAACAACCCAATCACCAAAAGAATATATATATATATATATATATATATATATATATATATATATAAGTTTGACATCTCATCTGAGAGCAGTTGGATCAAAAAAATCAACGACTCTGATTTATAAGCATGTGACACCGTTGATCTTTTTTGATCTAACGGCTCTCAGATGAGGTGTCAAACTTAAAATTTGACACCGGTGTCAAAGGATCGTATCTATATATATATCTGCACAAAGAGCAAAGTGGTTTTGCATACCTACTCCGTCGAAGACGATTCCGAAGGAAGAGAATTGGAATATGTTGTGTTGTGAATCAAGGTGGAAGGATTAAGTTCATTGTCGAGAGTTAGAAGCGAGAGATGAAACAGTTTAATTTGTGAGAAAATTGAAATTAGGGCAGAGGAGAGACAAAAGAGGATTGAATTTCTGGCGATGAAGTGTGGCTGTCACACGAAGGCGCGTGGCGAGGTCATGCTCTTTCGCTGCGATGAACCACCACAAATGAGTTCCCCACGTGGTCTTTTTGTCTTTTACACTTTTTAATGGTGTATTTTACCGTGCAACGCGTGGATATATTTTACAAAAGTGACAAAAGAAGAGTATAAAAACTATCATTTTACTTTGAATCATTTATATTCTCATAATTAAAAAGAAAAGAATAGACGAAAAAAAAAAAGATAAATAAAAAATAACATAAAATAAAACGGAAAATTACAACACTTATAAAAAAATTAAAATATTAAATACGTCTAAAACAAAAAGAAGAAAATAGATTAAAGACTAAAAATAGAAGAAAAAAATAAGACCAAATATATTAAAAACTTATAACAAAAAAAAGACTAAAATTTAAAAATAATAATAGTTTCGAAAAGAAGAAAATAGATTGAAGAAAAAAAAGAAAAAAATCAAATATATCAAAATAAAAAAACAAAGTGAGGATAAAAAAATAAATATGTTGTTAAAAATTTACAAAAATGACAAAAAAGACTTAAATTAAAAATAAAAAAAAATAGTCTAATTGGAAAAGAAGATAATAGACTGAAGAACACAAAGAAATATAAGAAAAAAAATAAGATTAAAAATAAAACAAAAGCGAAATAGAAGAAAAATAAATAATGTTGTAAGTTTTCAATATATTTATTTTTATTTTTTTTGAAACAATTAAAATACCCCTTTATGATTTGCCTTTGAATTACTTACCCTCTTATTTTTTTATCATTTATCTCGGAACATTGATCAAAATATTACTTTTTGGAAAAAAATTTAACCAAATACCACGCGAACAATACTTTTTACTAAACTGTCACGTGACGTAATTCGCTACGACTGGTAACGAATTACGTTCGCCAATGATTTTGTGACATGTGGCACATTTTCGTAGGAAAAAGCTGACGTGTCATAATTCGCTACCAGTGGTAGCGAATTTGGTCTGCAATATGACCACGTGTCACGAAATCATTGGCCATGAAATTTCCTACCAATGGTAGCGAATTATAACACGTGGCAGTCTGGTAAAAAGTATTGTTCGCGTGGCATTTGGATAAAAATTTTAGCAAAAAATGGAACTTTGATCATTGTTCCATTTATCTCCCTAAACTTTTTTCCATTCAAGTCTCTTCTTAACCGTGTTAGATGTAATAACCCGCACTGTTAAATTAAAATTTTAATAAGTTAATAATAATATTAATAAGAATAAATTATGATTTTAGAAAAAAAAAATTACCCCATATTTAAAATAGGATAATTAGAAGGAAATAATAATTTGGAAGCAAATCACTTTTCGAGGGAAAAGTGCAAACACTGTGCATTTCGCGGTAAGAATTGTGTACCAGCGAAATTATCCACAACTTGGAAATAATTAAATAATTATTATTCATAAATATTAGGGAGTTAAAAAGGATGACAAATGCTTAAGTTAGGTTACAAAGAGGATTATTTAGTGAATTAAGTGAGTAAATGCACATTAGATTGTAGGACCCATTTAAGTGGCTAAAATTCACATGTTTCTAACCTTGTATCTCATTTCTAAAACCCTAGAGGACCTCTTAGGTTACAAAGAGGATTATTTAGTGAATTAAGTGAGTAAATGCACATTAGATTGTGGGACCTATTTAAGTGAATAAAATTCACATGTTTCTAACCTTGTATCTCATTGCTAAAACCCTAGAGGACCTCTCTCACCCACTAATGGCTGCCTTCTTACACACTTCATGGAAGATCATGTTTTTCTTCGTGAAACTTAGCCAAAACCTTGCTTTTCCTCATCCCTTTTTCCACGGTATAACCTTAAACCCTTGAAAGCTTGTACCTTGTGAGAGAAAATTCATTCTTGAAGCTTTATAGTTGTTGTCTTATGGGGTTGAGGGACTGCTCTTGTTGGTGGTGTGTGTTGGATCCATTTACACACACATTGGAACATCAAGATACCATCTTTGTGGAGAAAGGACTAGCTTTGAAAGCTAAATTTTGTGCACCTTCCTTGGTGAGGTTAGAGTGTGGAAAAGAGACCTCCAAAGACACTCCTTTCTCTGTTTTGAAAAATCACTAAGGTAACCCTTAACTATATCCCTTGTATTTCCATAAAAATAGCCTGTTTTGGGTCATGAAAAAGAGAAACTTTAAAGGATTAAGTGTAGAACTGATAATCTATATGTAAGTGAGTTGATTGGACTTCTCTAAATGTAAAAATCAAAGTTTAACTTTTGGAAAGCCATTGGATTGGCGATTATGCAATAAAAATATGGTTTTCTGCATTCTATTGCTGATTTAATCGATTAGCCTTCGTGGTTTAACCGATTATATCCTGACGAAATGGGTAATCGATTACAACACACCTAGTTTAGTAAAAGTAAGATATCTCGAGCTACAGAGCTCCAAATTGAGTGAAGTTTAGACTTATGTGAAGCTAACATATAGGGCTACAACCTTGTAAAATTTCAGATCCATTGGACAAGCGGATTGATCGCGAATTGAGTTTGAAGTTGATGTCTTGCTGTTGAAAATTCAGTTTACGGCAGTCACTTTGCAAAAAATGTAATCGAAGTTATACAACTCCAATTGAGACATATAATATGTCTTTGGAAATCTTAAGATGTCTAGTTTAACATAGAAAAATATTAGAATTTTTGGTAAAGAGATGCAACACCAGTTTTAAAAATGGTAAATACGGTTTAGTACCTTGGGACTATGGAAAGAGCCTGCAGTATGCGAAATAAAAAAGGAATAATGTCCCTCCAAGAACAAGGATCTAGGATACATATATTGATAGTATGTGTGTTATGAAAACAGGTTGTAACCTTGTGTGATAGCTGAAGGCCTCCTATGCATTATGGAATATGGAATATATATTTTGATGATGACAAAGGGTTTACAAAAAGTCTCAAATTGAAGATGGAGTGTGAAGATACAAGTGATTAGGTATTTTTAGAAATTATGTTACACACTATATTATATCATATGGTATCTACCTAAGCTCCAATGCATATCATTACATATTATGCATTTCTCATATTAAAATTTGTTTTAATAAAAACAAAATAAAAGTAATATATAAATAACGAAACAAAACTAAATGCACAGCGTTCTTTTCATTTGAACTTCATGTTACGTTGATATATATAAAAATATAAATTAGTTAGATTTAATAAATGATAATAATGAAAAAGAAATCTATCAGGTAAAAGTGGCTTTCAAATCAATATAAAAAGAAAACTATAAACAAATAAGACAAGTCACTTTTACAAATCCAAAAAAGAAAAGAAAATCGAATCAAAAAAGTCTCTCTCTCTATGCAACACTTTCAAAGAAAAGAAATTGGAACAAAAGAAAAAAAGTTCTCTCTCTCTCTTATATGAAAACATCGTCGCTCACTGTATCTGCAAATTGCAATCGGCGGTATCTTGCAAATGTGTTCCTTCTGTTCGGTTCAAACGCTTGTTGTATCTGCGCAAACATGTTCCTTCGTTCTTTCTTGCTGCAAACTGAATCAAACTTTAGGATTTTTGGTACATCTCTTCTCAGTGAAATTTCCAGGTTCTTTATCTGAAAAATTTGGGGCTTTTTATGGTATACTCAAGAAACTCAAATCCTTTGTGAATCTTTGATTTAAAGCATTTAATCTGAAATTTCCAGATCTGTTATTTCATATGCTTTAGGGATTTTGAGTTGTTTAATCTGAATATTAAATTCTTGAGTTGTTCATTGGTATAAAAATTTACTGTTAAAATTTGGAATCTAATTTTTGCATCTTGATTTTTCTGTTTTGATTTTATGTGAATATCTTAGAAATCTTGATGCTCTTTGTGTAAGATTAGTGTTTCTAATTTTTGTGAAATATTGATTAAGAATATTAAATCTGAATTTATTTTTATACCTTGTTATACATTGTGTTAATTCAGATTTTTGTTTGGGATTTATTGTTTAGAAACCTAATCTTGAATTGTTCTAGAAATTTTATTGTTGGAATATTAAATCTGAATTTTCTGTTTTAATTGAAGTATATTGTGATTAAAATTCAGATTTCTTTTGGTTTATTATTAAAAGATTTATCTAGAACTAATTCTGAATTTTATGTGAAATTTTGAGATAAATTTCAAATCTGATTTTTCTGGTTATAATTGTGATATTCTTTTTAAATCAGATTTCTTGGTGTCCATTGATTAGAAAAATAATTGTGTAATATCCAAGCTCCCTTGTGCATTAATTTTAGAGATTTTAATACATATGTCATTGGATTAATTTTCTGCATATGGCATAAATTTTTGGAGCTTAGTTTGATATTACCTTGATATATTTGGTGTGATAGGATACTGTAATCTTGGTTTATTTCACTTGTTACAATTCTGAAAATTCTGTATTGATTGTTAAAGTGGAGTAGTTGCGTGCTGTAAATCTGTCCTAGGTGTGTGGGTGCAACCGTGTGGGTTGACGACCTTGTGCTTGGCTTGAGAGTGTGTCTCAAGCCCTGGAGCCTCAAGAATCCACTAGGGAGAGTGGAGGTCTTGTGAGAGGAGTTGGTGAACTCCGTAGGTTCGGCTTGAGAGTATTCTCAGAGCTTGGAGCAGTGTAGGCACTAGGAAGATTTTTGATATCTTGTTTGATTGTATGTGTGACGCGTGTTTATAAAACTGGTACACTTGTGATAAATAAAATATCTGCATCTACTTCAGTCTGGACGTAGCACCCTACTTAGGCTTAGTGGGTGTGAACCAGGATATATCGTGTGTCTCTTGTCTCTCATTTAATTTCTGATTATTTTGTTTAGAGACTGACAGTTACACTAATTCTATTATAATTGCTGCGTTTATACTCTATAAATCGCTAAGGTACGCTTTCTGTTACTATATTGTTCTTAGCATTGCGAAAAATTATTTTGGGCATATAGGGACCGAAGAAAAATTGTAAAATTGTTTCCTGAATATAAAAAGATTTTGAAAAAGTTTAGAACACCTATTCACCCCCCCTCTAGGTGTTCCGTAAGCGTTTTGTGCAAGAAGCCA